CTCCTGGGTCCTAGCGATCAACCCATCGCTCTGCAGCATCTCTGTGTCCAGCTCCTGTTCCACTCACAGGCTCTATGGTCAGAAGGGCCCATCATGAGCATCTAGCCCAGGGATTCTCACAACCAAATGTGGTGGCCTCAGAGTGTGGCCAGAAACTCCTACTGGTGGCCGCTCTGACACTTTCCCTATAATCCTAACTAACTTTACGGGAAACCAATAAATATGCACAGAGGTAAGCAGGGGAAACGGTCTTACTATTGTGGGGAACTTTTCTGGCTTATACACACCCTGATAGAATCGAATAGCAAAAGGAGCTGAGTCCTCGCTCCGTTTACCTGGAGACCTGCCTGACCTCAAGGACTCCCCTTCCACTCTGGTGTCTGAAACCGGGACAAGGCTGGCCCCAAGATTCCTGCGGGTTCTGCATCTCCAATTTTGTTGAGATTACTCAGGACAGAGGCTAGGGTGTCGTATCCCCACTCTGGGGTGCTCTCTTCACGCTGGACGCATCCCTGATGTCGCCATTGAGCATTGCGTAAAGTTCAGAACAATTACGATTTATTAAACAGCAAGTAATAAAAAAAATTAAGGAAAAAATGGGAAGGGGGAAAGGAAAACATGATGTCATCCCACGCTGCCCAGGGTCCCCCCGTTGCTCTCCCCAGCTGTTCATCACACCCAGCTCCAGACTGCTCCAGATCCATCTTCCCTCTGTATCAGTGCTTCTGCTGCTCTGCCTCCAACCCAGCTCTGGCTGCTCCTCTCCCCTTAGCTCTGCCCTTCTCTGGCAGGCAGCTCCAGCTCACCCAGAGAACGGGCACCTGACTCCCTCATTGGCCTGCCTGCCTCAGGGTTTTCTTTTCCCATTGGTCCTTCCTGTCTTTTGGTACTGGGAGAAGCCAACCAACCCCTCCCGCCCCCACTAAGTTTCAGTAAGGGGCCAACAGTCATGGGGTCAGGCAACTTCATGGTGTGTGTGAGCTCCAAAGCATCCTTCAGGTGAATTATAAATTTCTTTGTTTACCCCTTTCTTCCTGTTGGTGATGGACAGCCAGATAAGAGTTTTCTAACAACCACAGTCGGTCCTTTGTCATCTCTCAGGACTTTGAGTGGGACAATCCCTTGAACTATGAAATATTTCACTAACAAAAACTTTGACATATGTCTGGGTCTTTATGGACAGATCCTCGTCTTTGAACCTGCTGAGGGGTTTTGCCATAACAGCAAATGTCCGGGTGTGTTTGCAGAGCACAAAGGCTGAAGCTCAGAAACATCCCTGATTAGTCACCTTCCCAACTAGCCAATTGCCCTGCATCCATAGCTGATTGATTGCTGCGAGATCCCGCCCACCCAGGGAGACTCCCAGTCCTGGGGGAGTGTCCCACAAATCGGCGCTGACTGACAGCTGTTGCCAGCACTCTGCCACTGTGACAGCTGCCAACACTGCCCTCACCTCATGAGTAT